AGTACAAAAATTACTTATAATTATACAATTCCTCTCTAATTATTACTATAATAAAATAAGAAAGTGATTAAAAATAGTGCTTATAATCATATAAATTTGACACTAATCTTTTGTATCCTCTCTCAAGTTCACCATAGTGATGGTAGGTGTTGGAGTTAAGAGATCCTCATCGGTTATGCCCAAAGGAGGGGTCATTTTGGCCTTACACATCAAGTTGGTGATCAAATGGGAGAATGAAATATTTGTCTTGTTATCCTCTAATCGTGAGAAAATTTTCATTTCCCGTGAATAATCTCTCTCATTTAGATGTACACTGATGCACTGGCTGGTAAACGAGTCCCAACCTTGGGTCGGATACTCAGGCTCGGAAAAAGATTAGGTCAGAGAAGACAAATTGGTGCAATGTTTTTTTGCAAATAGGGAAATGGTGTTTTTCTTCTGTTTCTTCTCCAAAAGATGTATAGTTGAACGTTCATCTAGACATACCACCTCATACATTTTTTGATGTGTGATGAGTTGATGTGATTAGATTTTCTGTCATTTCTAAATTAAGTTGAACCCTTGAAGGTCATAATGGTTATTAATGGCCTTCAGAGGTAGTCAGAATACAACATGGCTCTCTTGGGGTTCTACATCACCATTTGTGCACAATTCTTTATGAGCAAAAAACTTTCGGACTACAACCCGGTTAGCAGCAATGTGGGGCTTCATTCGCAAACATTTCCATCCAAGCCTTCCACATGGGCTTGAATTTCTCCTTCCACCTTAAGGCCTAGTCGACCAATGAATAAGTGATGACAAAGAGCATTCTCTATAAGCTTTGGAAATGGATTGAATGGATGAAGTTACGTAGGTCATGTAAGTAGAAAGTATGGTTTCTTTTGGGTCCTCGAGGATGGTTGCTTTGGAAGCTTGGGAATTTCCTCATTAAGATGGTTTCCTTCTCTCTTTGACAAGTTTTCTTGACCTTGTGAGGTCTCACGATCTTGGGTTCCGTTTGTGGTTCAATGATTTGGATGCCGTTTTTTCCTTTCTTGATTCTCATGTTCTTACAAAAGAGATTTTGAGTTTTAAAATAGGAATAGGTATAAGATCATGTAAAAATATAGTGAATAGGTGTTGGTGAAAATAATGAGTTTTGTGCGGAATGAAGGCAATGCAACAAGTTATGTGTACTTTATCCACATGGACTACTTAAAGAAGTTGAATATTGTTAGACCCCAGAATAGATTTTGGGTCTCTTTGACGGGCTTATCCTGATTGTCAACTGATAAGACACTAATATGCATTCGAAAGAAATATGTTTGGGAATATAACCGCCGGGTACCGTTATGATTAATTATGGTATAATTCCTAGAATTAAGGGATTTGATTTGAGAGTTAATTCTATTCACACTTGGGTTGAGATTTACTTAGTTAAAAAAGGACAAGTTTGTTTGGATTAAAATACTTCCAACGTGATGATCGATTTGTTAATGGTAATTGATCAAATATTAGACCCCTGCTTCCACCTACTTCCTATTTTTTAGGAAATTAATATGAAGAAGATTTGGATAGATTTTCTTCCAAGAAACCTAAGTGAATTAGATTTTCTTGCCAACTAAGAAACTGGCCGACCTATTCTTCTATTGAATGGGGCAATTGCACGACATCAGCAACACATTACATCTTTTCATCAAAAATACAATGTTGATGCCTCTTTATTCTTTTTGTTTCTTTTGCGCATCTTTTATTTCATGTCTTTTATCATACTTTCTTCGAACTAGTATATGATACATAGTTCTTTACCTATTCTTTCTTCATTGAAATAGATAGTTAATTTAGTGATTTTACTTCAAAGAATTCGTTCTTGAAGTAATAGGTATTTTTAGGAACTTATATTTTACAGTCTACCCTCTGCATGCCTGTACTATCACTGTATTTCCAGTAATAGCGTGTCATCGGTAACACCTATAGTTCATCGACATTATGGTCTTTCCCACTTTATAGATTGAACGTCAGTTGGCTTGTTTCACTTCTATCTTCTTCTTCTTTTTTTCCTTTTATTTATAAACTGAAATTAACCCTAAGTCCTCGATTTTAGGTCCGATACTGGTTTTCAAAGTTATTAACAATCATCTCTATATTTTGGTGTTCCATGTCCCTTTTACCACGAGTGTGGGTGAATACTTTTTTTCGCAGAAACATAATTTGGCATACTCGGTGTTGGTAACAAGTTTTGGTTTGATTTCATATTTTGTGGGAGTCTTTTTTTCTATAATAAAAAATTCTCTATTTTTTTTCATCATTAACTAATTGAATAGCCATATTTATGGTTTTAGTACCCCTAAGTGCTCGAATCTACGATTTTTCATCACACAATAGGTCGCCTAATCCCCAATCTTCATATGCTAATAGCGCATCACCATTTGATTACATTTCTGCTATGATTGATAGTAGTAGTGACTGGCAAGTTATCTCTGATGGCTATTATTCCTAATCTTATTATCAGTATGATGCTAGTCGGCAATATGATCATGCCGATGAATGGCATGATACGGTGCAAGATCCCTCAACATCCGGGGAGCTGGGCGTTGTCAGTAGTCAAACATATACATATGATTGCTGTAACGGGGTAATCGATGGTTAAATTATTGAACAATCGATAGAGGTACAACAACAATTACAACTACAATTGATTTCGGAACAGTTTCTACCGACAGCACAACATCAGGAGCAGTGGGCACAGTATCGACAGGTGCTGTGACTATATATATATATATATATATATTGCTAGTGTTACGTGAACAATAGTTTCAGCAAGTGTTGCAGGTGCAGTTCCAACAAACAGTGCAGCAGGAATAGTATCAGTATGTCACTCCGTCGGCAGAACTGCAGTAGGCAATGCTGCAAGTAAACTTTTAATAGATAATAATACAGATCTCTTACTAGAATACGCGGGAGTTTGAAAACGTGTCTAGCACTTGATGCTCTTACCACCTGGCCACCTTAATCTCCAAACCACAAATTAAACAAAGGGATCCATGTGCTCCAATGATCGACACACGAAAAAGAAAGAGATAGAAAGGAAGAAAATAAAGAAAAGTTTTGGGTTAACAACTTTATCGGCCACCTCTCAACTAACCCTAGCCTTACAATTATGACTAAAACGAACGAACTAAGCCTCCAATAAAATGGTTAACTACTAGCTCCACCTATGAACAAACCTATAGGTTCAATAACATGCTAAAACAAAGCTCGACTTAAAAAAGTTGTGCAATGCACCTATTCTTGCAAGAATAAGACAAACGAGGAGAAATCTCACGAGTTTACGAATAAAAGTCTTTATTATTAAAGTCATGCATCAAAGTCACGGCCAAGACTTCTATTTATCGGTCAAGGAAGGGTCTAGGTCCGCCAAAAGGAAGAGAAATCTGATCACAACTCTTATTCGTATTTCTTGGACTAGAAGTTTCCTAAAATCTGAAAATATACAAAATAATTAAATAATTACACATGCCATAATTATTTAATATTAAAAGTATCCTAAAAATAAGGAGAAAAACGTGTGAGGGTCGAAATTATTAAGGAAAGTTCGAAATCCAACACAAATAGGAAACAAAACCTAGTGCAAAAAGGAAATAAAAATAAAATATAATTTCTCTTGAAAAAAATTCTAGTTCTCGTCTGCCACCTTAAAAGTTCTTCTTGGAGCATGATTTGACAAGTTGAGGACCGAAAATCTTGTAAAATTTCAAGAACAATTATTGAAAACCCATTATCCGGAAATTAGGATTTTGTCATAGGCTTAAGCATCGGCAGACATAGCTCTCGACGCACATCTGTCGACTCGTTTGTTGACTTCATTCTTTCGGCTGCAAAATCAGCGTGTATTTCTGTCAACTTCATCGTCAACTTGATTTTTATTTGACCAAACCATATTTTTGGTTTCAATCTTCCATCACATTTGAAACCTACATAAACATTTCCATCCTACAACTATGTGATCAAAATAAGTGTAATGATCATCATAGTTAGGTTTGATACTTAACGAGCCACTCAGGACCACATCAGGTAATGCCATTGACAAAGTTGTAGCAGGAAGTGCCATATATGAATTTTCAGGAAGTGTTCTTATCAACACAATTACATTTGTTGTCAAGTCACATACGCGGTTCCAGAAAGTCGTGCCGTAAGTACATGATCTGCATGTTTCATCACAGACACAATTCCAGGAGATTGTGCTACATGGACAGGATCTGCATGTTTTGTCCAGTCCATCTCTTTCTTTTTTAAATTTTTTTTTTAAAAGATTTCTGTTGAAACTCGAATTTTCAAATTTCGAGATTCTCTTTAGCTTAAGTCGGATTCGCCAAATCCGAGTTCATCATAAACTCGGATTTGGAATATCTGAGAGTGCAAAACGCTTTTGAAATCTATGTTTAGTCAATTTTTTTCTGATTAAAGTTTTTTTTTTTTTGCGAATCATAATTTACTCAATTTTTTTCCCCACAAAACAACAAAATTTTTTCTCTCCGAATTATTATTATATTAGTAAAGTTTAGATTTAGATAATCCGAATTTTATCTTAAATTCAATTAATAAATTTAATTTTTGTAATTAAGTGAAATTTTGATTCTCTAAATTCGATTTCTAACTAACTCAAATTTATTAATTTTTGGTATTTTTGTCCACTTCGTTCCATGAGTCCTAATTCCATCCACTCCGATTTAGGACCTTTTTTTTTTTTTGATAAAAATTCCTCCGGTCCTTATTATAAAACATTTTGATTTCTTATATGTTTTATTTATTGTGTTTTTTCAATTGAAAAAACAATAAATGAAAATATTTTTCTAAGGGTTTATTTTCAATTAGAAGAACATGATAAATGAAAATTAGAAGAAATAAAAAATCAAGGATTGAAGGAAATATTTTTATTATGCTTTGAGTTTATTTCATAATAACAATATACAGGTTGTAGTTTTTTTTTTATAAATCGTTATATTTGTGCTTCCAAATTTCCCATGTATCGCAAAGAATCAACAAATATTTCTTTTAACGAAAATAAATCTGTAACTATAAATGGAAAATAAAAACATTATTTGATTTTCTCGATATACATACATTGCTACCACCGTCCCGCGATTACAGGCCTGTAGTACTCATTTTGCTTTTCCTTTCTTACACTTTGTTTCTCTCTCTACAAATCTTGATTCGTTCGGATTCAATTCGCTGAAATTCTTGGGTTTCTTCCCCTCGAAATCACTTCTTATACGGCTAAGATACGTAGTTTTGATCGTTGGCTTCACACTGTTGGTTTTGGAGAAGGGGGACGGATTCTTTGTTGAAGGCTGGTGAAGAAATTGGATATCTGTTAGGGTTTCGGAGGCGGCACAGATCTGAGTGCCGACGATTTTTCCGAGTTCACCAGTGTCCTAATTTGTTGAAGAATTCACCATGTTCTGGCGTATGGCCGGTCTCTCCACTGCTTCTCCAGTGAGTATCGGAACTTGATAGGGATCACATCAGTGAATTTCATTTCGGTGTCTTTCTTTGTTTACTCATTGTTCTTATTGTTTTGTTTTTAAGAGAATTTATCGTACTTTGTTTTGATGAGGATTAACATTATTGGGTGAGATTGTTATTGATTTGCTGTTTTACCGTGGTTAGGATTCTGTATCTCAAATTAGAAATGTCTTGGTAAATTCTTATTCCTGTCTGTCAATTAAGGTTTTCTTGGGAAGTAGAAAATGTTGATTATAAACGTTATGGGAGTTTCTTGGCTTTTACTTGAACGCTGTGTGGAGTGGCAGCTGAAATTAAGAACAGTTGGCCTGATTTTCTTTGAGTTCGTGCTGTGCAATTTTTTTATATTTAGGTGCCTGTTTGAATTTCTTGCAAAGGAGGCGCAGAGGGAACATTGTCTGTTTGGAATTTGGCCTCAGGCTGAGGTTGTTAATGTGATGTGCTTTTTTCATTTTTCTTGGATAGAGTCAATATATGTAAACAATTTCATCTCTAAGAAGTTCTGGAATCGACATGCAATTGGTGATCTTGAGGTACTGGAAAGGGAGAGGCTGCTTTATTGTAGGTTTTGCTGCTCTCCCTTCTATATTTAGGGCATCTGGCTTTTGCTAGTATCTTGTTGATCTTTATCCTTGATGACCTCTTGCATTCTGTGATGGAAAAGAGCTTCTTTCTATTTTTCATCTTTTAAACTGAAATTGGAGGGGCCTATTTCATTATTTTACAGTACAGTTTATCATCTTATGTGTTCCACTTACAAAAGGTTTGAGAGTAATGCAAGTTTTCCCATTGCCCATAATACTTGGAAAAAGATGAGGTCTTTATAGTCATAGCCAGTTTTGTGTTTGTTGACAATGGGTATGATGGCTTTTATTACTGATCAGATAGACATTAGATGCTTCTAGGTCGGAAGAATTAGTACGAAATAGGAATGCATAGTTTTTACATGTGCAGTTCTACCTAACATACACTTTCTGTTTAATGGGTTTTCCTGTAACTACACACGCTCCTTGTGTAGTTTATGAGTTATGTTTACTGTTCTAGATTAGTTGTCCCTCATTGGTGGGTTCACATTATCAATTTTTGTTGGGTTGATGTTGCCACTTTTTGTTGGAAAATTATCAATTTGTGGATGAACATGCCCAAGAGCATGTTTCATCTTTGAATCGTTAGAGAGTAGGTTATTGAAGGAGAATTTGGTTTGCTAAAGACAAGATCTGGTATTTCGTACTTTTACATGTGGTGTGCATGTTATTAGAGAGATGACGTGATTCCTTGTTTGTTCTCTGCATAACTTGGGATTTGTCTGAAGAGTTCAAGAATTTATAGTGATTCAGCATTTGGAAGTTGTATGCTGGAAAGTGTGGTTGGATAGTTAGCTGAATTCTGGTCTGTATGAAGTCTGTTCGAAAGAATTGGATTTGTAGGTTGCAAACTGTATCAAGGTTTAGAGGTTTAACTCGGTTTTCAAAGTTTTTGTGGTCCTATGAAGCAAAAATAGAAATATGTTGTTATTGAAGAGACATCTTACTCTCTTCAAGAATTATATTTCACCTTCGTATCATATCCTGCATTTTATCAAACTGTGCATCTTCAATTGGAAAAATGAATTGTCTAGTGACTTTCATGTGAAATTGCCCTCTGATAACTACATGGTTCTATGTGTGAAATTTTAGTTTATGTCTATAGAAATTTGATTTCATGATAGCTATACAGCAGCTCTTTTCTTCTTCTTCTTTTTGCTGTATTCAGCCCAAGGGCTTTGAGGTACCCCTTTATGCATGATTGCAAATTTGCATTTTATGAGTTAATTTTAATATGTTTGCATCTGCAGATGGAGTTTGTTTTGTTATGGTTAAATCTGGAATTATGTTTATTGTAAAAACTATCCATCTAATTTTCCTAACATTTTTCGGTTACAAGATATGCTGGATTATTTAACTTGAAGAAATATTTACGGTTTTATGATGACTTTTCTTACTCATGATATGATTCTTTTAGGTGGAGACTATTCTGGACAAGGAAAATTTTACTCTAGAGGAGCTTTTGGATGAGGATGAAATAATTCAAGAATGCAAAGCTCTTAATGGCCGGCTTATTAGTTTGTAAGTTCTTGCGTTCGTTTCATCTTTCCTTGTGGCTGGCTTGTGCTCTCTGTTCTACAATATCAAAGACCATTTTTACTTGTTTTACTGAAACTGCTTAAATTTGTTGTAGCTGTACCCCTACCTTATTTTCTTCACCCGTATATTGCTTCACAGGATTCTGTGACTAGGATATTGTAAATTAAAATGATTTATTAGGCTACATACTTGAACTGTGCTTTGTCTTATGTGAGATTCCTAGCTGCATGGAAGTTTAGACCCAAGAGCTTTGTCTAACAAATCATGTTTGTCTTGCTTAAAGTCTAAAATAAAATGACCCTAGTGCTTTGTCTTGTTGGTAAAGTTTTCTACTCGAGAGAATAGTTTGTTCGTTTCAGCAGTGTGTATGTTTATTTTGGATCTCTTCTGTTGTAACTTAGATATGAATAATTAAGCTACATGCTGTGATTAGTTCTTCTGCTTAACATGACAAGCTGCATGGAAGTTAAGGATTTGACAGTTAAAGTGGTGTTTTGTTCTCAAAGTAGGTAGTAGGCCTCTCATTTATCAGTTAAATTGGGTGCCTTTTTCCTGCTGCCCTTTGTCTTTCCCCCTTTCTGCTAGTTTCTCTCTATCCCTCTCTTTCTTGATTTTATATGATACTGATGTCTGGCAATTTCTGTGCACATAAGCTTTACAGAAGAAACCATTTCTTGTTTAATAACTAGAGAGGCATAGTTTCCTCTTTCTAATTTTCTTTACGTTTCTTCTCTTTTCATTGGGGGTGGGACCAAGGTGGAGGTGGTTGTACATAAGAATTGGTTATGAGTTATGTGTTTCGAGTGAAAAGAAGAGTTGATTCCCAAAGATATCCTTTTCAACTAGTCTTGTTGACTTGATCATTATTAATTTCTGAGGTTTGGTGTAAGATTACTACATTCAGTAACAAATAACGGAACTTTAGGACTTACGGCAGGCAGCATTACCTTCTTTTTTTTTTTTTTTTTTGGTGCAGTGTGAAATTTGATGCCTGGTTGAAGATCATAATTAATCTTTGTCAAACTTTAGCCTCTTTTCTCTTAGAATCTTGCTAATTTAATTACCTTTACCTTGGATATCAGTTAATTCTCTAGTGAGTGGTTGTTTAGGTTCATTTTTCATGCTCTGTGTTTATTACTTGATCATCCATTGGTTAAAGTTGTATAATGGGTTAGCCTTGTGAAGTCCTTATTTACTAGTTCAGTTTGATCAATTGGAGCCTTGAATTTGTGTGCATGGCGGAAGTTCCACGTATTATGACATTTTTTGTATAAAATGTGCTGCTGCTATGATTACTTCTTTACTTTTTTCCTTCTGTTGTACCAACAATATCCGAATGGATATGCTGTAAAATGATGTCTTTTGTCATTAGATGGAACTGTGGAACCATTGGCACCAACTGCAATGTAGCTTTGAAAGATTCAAGGTCTTGGTGGCAGCTCGGTTAGAGCAGCCAATCCTAGGGTGAACCTTTTCAGCAATTTGTCCACAAAATAGATGATTTAGAACTTGCTAAATGTTTGCTGAATATTTTCACCAGATCTAGATGTAGAGCTTAAAGCTCACGTGCGAGTACGAAATGGCTTTTTTAAGGTTGGAATTTCCTGAAACCAGGCTAAGGGTGCTTAAGAATGGAAGAAGTTAAGTGTTTTGAAGATTGTGTGGAGGTTCATGACTAGCTTCAAAATACTTTGTCCATGGGAAAGTTTTCTAGGAGATGAACCTTTCTTTGAGGGATTAGGGAATGATTTATAGCTTAATAGATAGTGGCTGACATTTGGGAAAAACAACCAATGTTTATGTGTATGTAGGACATTAGGTTGATGTTAATCAAATTTTACTGCAATACATTGCATAGAAGGAATACCAGATTACTTGAGAAAAGTAACCATCCAGAGGGTATTATAATCTTGTGAGACTATAGTTTCATGGAAGGAAAAATGTGCATGCTTGGAGAAGGGAATCTGTTCTACAGTGAATGATTTTCGGTTGTCCTGGGCCAAATGTTATTTAGTGAAAAGTTTTTTGACTTTAGAATTCATTCTGGGTTTGGAGTCTCAATTAGCAGCTAGTAGTAGTTGTATTGTGTCTAACTCAATTTGATTTTAGCTTGTTCGCTATCCTGTTTAGTTTTGATATAATGTTATTGCTTTTATTTTGGGCTTCTCTTAGAGCTATGCATGTATTGAACTTGTCATGCGTGTATAGCTGTACGCCTTCCTGGCCATTGGAGGTTTACACCAAAATGAACACTTTGAACCTCTAATATCTACTCTCTCATTCCCCTCCCTTTTTTCCCCCCTTTTTTCAATGGTTTCTTTGTTGTTTTTTTTTAAAAAATTATATCTACAACTCCAAATGTCAAGTATTTCTATTTTAAGTTTAATTTATTTTCTTACATGTCTTTCAGCTTGCGAGAGAGAGTGCAAATTGAACAGCTTGTGAGATACATAGTGGAAAAAGCTCCAGAGGATGCCGAGAAAACTCGCACTTTTAAGTATGTACTGGCCACCTAGCTAAGTTGTTGTTTGAGGTTTAGAATATGCATGTTTTTCCCTGTTAATGTATTTTTTTGGCTACAACCTGTTAATGTTACTTTTACTTCGATGTTTCTGCAGGTTTCCATTTATTGCTTGTGAAATTTTTACATGTGAAGTGGATATAATACTGAAAGCTTTGGTGGAGGATGAAGAGGTGTGGTTCCACATGAGCTTGTGTGTTAATTTAGGGTTGCATAACATTATGGTCATGTCGGTTCACATTTGACTCTTCTGTGTTGGTGGACAGTTGATGGATATGCTCTTCTCTTTTCTCGAACCTGAGCGTTCTCACAGCACTTTGCTGGCTGGTTACTTTAGTAAGGTATTATGGTTTGCTGCTCCTTGCCAATGGACATAATAGTAATATCTTTTGTCATGTTTTTATGCATTTTTATGTTGGTTCAACACCATTAAAATAAAATGAATTCCTTTCTGGGATTGAAAAGTTGCTCAATGTATCAAGGGAAAAATATATGATTGTAGAATGATAAAGGGAAACTTGGGGTGTGCTGAGGATATGGTAATTTATATCCTGAGCTTTGTTGGAATTTAGTCCACCTTCTTAATTGAATTGCTTTTGCCTGATCTTTGGGGAGAAATGGACAGTCTTCGACTGTAGTTAAGAGTTTGTTTTTTCTTTTTTTCCTTTTCAAAGTTGGTTTTCGAATTTGTTGGATATTGCATTCTGGAATACCTCTTGCAATCTGGAATACCTTTTACTTAGGGAGTTAGGCTGATGAGTGATGACAGTTACTGCAGAACAGTTGCAACATGTTTTTGAATTTGACACCTTGCCATCGGTTCAGATAGTGTCCATTGAAACTGTGGCCCACCCTCGGTAATTCTAGCTTTCTAAACAAGCAAAGAAAGTGAAAAAACAGCAGTGCGATGCTGTGAATAGAAACAGTTAGAAGGGTGAGCCAGTTCATAATAAGCTAGGGTCCCTGGTTAACTTTAAGCAAAGAAAGTGTAAGAAATTAAAATAGGGGCTAAAGGGGTTTGCTTTTTCATCCTTCTGAGACTAAATGCATGTTTCATCCTGTACTTTTCCTGTTTAATTTCTTGGATTTTTTTAGAATCTACTAATTGCTAGGGTTGACAGTTCAAATTCCTGTGTCCATGAAGACACAGGTAAAATCGCGCTGTTTGGCTTTAAAGAATGCTTTAGCTGCATGTTTTTCATGTGTCTGTATCTAATACAAGTTCTTCTCTTAAATGGCATGTAATAACATTTACGTGTAAAGTAGATTAGAATTGTATACTGTTTGAGAAGTGCTTGGCTTTCTAGACTTTCTTTTCCTTAACGTTATTGTTGTTATTGTTACTATTATTATTACTGCTTTTATTGATGCTTGAATTTCCATGTGCTAGGTTGTCATTTGTCTGTTACTGCGGAAGACAGTTCCTTTGATGACTTATATACAGGTTAGTATTTGATTAGTTTTTTACGTTGCTTCTGGTCTTGTGAGTCTATGCATGTCTTTTGGCTTGTGAAGTATTGGAGAAATAGCATAGTATTATGCCGAGATCAGCTACGAAACTGGATCTTGGCTTAAACATACCTGTAGTAAAATTGAGAGATCATCAGAATTAACATCTTTGTAGTTACAAATTGGTGATTTAGTGTAATTAAGATAGTATATTGTGATAACATTCATGTATTAAGTAAGTGTCTGTTCATTCAAGTTCCAGGCGTCTATGTCTCTAGTGAATAAAAATTACATAGGGCAGTGCATAAGACTTAAGCCCAAATAAAGAACTTGTTATAATAATAATAGTGCTTGTAGTGTTTGGTTACTACAGTTCCGTTTTCCTCGGTTACTGATAGTGTTGTTTGGATTCCTTGAGAAAGTGTGCCTGTCGTTTAGTGCCATTTACCATGTCTTGGTTATTGCAAATGGTCTCATGTTTGGCACTTTAAGCAAGTCTCGTGCTCCTGTCATCATGTATTTGTTGCACTTATTTCTAAAATTCAACTCTTGTCTCATTTTTTTAGGGTGGGGACTGCGACAGTATTTATTTGTAGGGCTAATTGTACTTGTGTCAGTTTTAACTCGGAGTTCCTTTTTTGGCCACTTTGAAGCTCCACGAAGTATTTAGTTGTACGAATTGTCTATTGGAGCTACCCATTTCGGCTTCGCCTAACCTTTATAATATGATGGTCTTAATAAGTTTATAAATCGTCATCTTTATTGCTTGTAACCCTATATATTTGTTGGAACCTCTGATTTTTTTCTTCTCACACCATCAACTTGATTGGTCTGTCATTCAAAATTTGGTCGCATGTTCAATCATTTTCTGTTCTTGTTAGGCTCATCGGGACATTATCAAAAAGCTGGTTGACCTGATTGGAATTACTTCCATCATGGAGGTTAGTAGTTTGGCTTGATCTATGTTGGCTTTATCTGTGATTAATGGGCCCTAATTCTAATTTTCCTGCAGGTTTTGATTCGTCTCATTGGAGCTGATGAGCACCTCTATTCCAATTACACTGATGTGATGCAGTGGTTGGAAGAAACAGATGTGCTCGAGATGATTGTTGATAAGTTTAGCTCTTCAGTAAGTTTTGTATAGACCTTTATATGTCATTTATGGGGATGTGTATTTGTGCTGGCAAAACAGACCATGTGGATAAAACAAAATGACCATTTAATCTCCTTTTTTTAACATATTGGAACATAAAATTTTATTCTGGAATTCTGTAATAAAAATTTATTCACCTAATTATGTGGGAGAGTTCGATTCTGATGAATCATCTTTTAACACTTAGAAACCAGAGCAAATTTCTTCTTTACTTGTTAAAACTTTGAGTTTTTGTGGCTGTTCATATGAAGTTTTCCTGTTGCAGGATTCCCCTGAAGTGCATGCCAATGCAGCAGAAGCACTTTGTGCTATAACCAGATATGCTCCACCTGGGATGATGTCCAAAATTTCCAGTCCTAGGTAACACATTACTTGTTTCGCTGGTGCTATTGGATTTGCTGAGATTGTAAAGACTAGCTTTTAACATGTGATTTCTCAGTTTTGTAGGCAGATTATTTCATCATGCTTTGGAGGACTCAAGGCCACAATCTGTGCTCATTAACTCATTGTCAATATGCATATCGTTGTTAGATCCCAAGAGGTTAACATCTGGAGCATATTATACATACAACCGCCAAATGATTCTGGGTTCCAGAATAACTGTTAATGCCGAGACTCTGGATGGGATGCTGAAAAGCTTAGGTGAATTATTATCTGGCTCATTGTTGGGTGGTCAATAGGGGACGTCTTTTGGATGATCCCATTTTTAATGTCTGTGTCGTCTTTTGGTGAACTTCAATGGTCAGGACTAATAATAGTTTTGGTAATCAAATTAACAAATTAAGTACTTGAAAAGATGAGTAAGTGCTGCTCCGGGGTTTTCAAATTCTCACTGAAAAATTTTCCATTTGATTTTTTTTTTTCCCCTTGAGAAAAATTACTTGCGATTGGAAAGTCCTATTTGATGTCAGAATCCATTACATTCGTGCTCACTGGTAATGAGTTCAGTAAGGAGGCTATTTTTTGTGTTTGTTTGATAATGAATGTAGATGCTATTGATTTAACGAGATTTTGGAATTAACTTTTCCACTGCCTCAGACACAAATTAAAAGTATGTTTTAAATATGGATTTTTGCATAAGCTTAGCTCTTTATGATACACTTGGTTCTTTTGATTTGAATTATTGTCCCTGGATCTTCATTTTGTCTCCATTTTCAAGAGAAGTTTCTTATCTTGGCAAGATTGCATTTAACTATTAATTTCAGCTTCATATAAATGTTTGACTGCATGTGGTATTGTACAATTTATTTTTTTTTATTATTTTGTTTTCCTTAATTTATGATAATTGCTTTTGGGGCTAGTTGATTATAGAAAACATTAGCTGTTGATTACACTAGAGCTTGGAATCATGTACTCTGTTAGTTCTTAAGAGAGCTTAACAAAGAAGGATCTAGTTATGGGGCGATTGTGGCATGATATGGGGTCATCATTTGATTTCCTTGTGGTTGGTATCAGAAAGCTTCCTATCTTGGATTGAAATGTTGGCCTTGATATCATGTGATAATATATTTAGGGCATCCTGGATTTATAGATAGATCTACTTTCTCTAGATTTGGTAATTCTAAATGCATTTTTGTTGAGTGAATTTCTGATGTCGGGAATGGCTAAATTGCTGTTATAAGTTTCTGTGTCAGCAATGGGTTTAAGAAAATGTGTTTTGAAGTGATGTACGTTTGTTTTGTGTTGTATGTAATTTCAGGTGATTTGCTGAAACTTTTGGATATTTCTACCGAAGACCATGTCTTGCTTACAACTTATGGAGAGCTGCATCCACCTCTTGGGAAACATCGTTTAAAGGTTTATTTTGGTCTTGCTTCCTTTTCTTCTCTTAGTTATATCTTGAGCCCAAATAGTACTCTACTATTTGGGAGGGTTGGGTCTTTAGATTTTAGTCAGTGTATTAAGTCTGCGTACTACACAAGATTACTAGCCTACTTTCTCAGAGATTCTAGTGTGGTTTCATGCATTTACACACGAGATTTGTTTCCTATATTACTTATTCATGTACACGTGTATACCTCATCACTTTCTACCACAAGTAAGAAATATTCGTTTAATCGGTTGAATGGCTTTATTTTCAGATTATAGAGTTCATCTCGGTTTTAGTAACTGTTAGCAGTGAAGCTGCTGAGAAGGAACTAATTCGACTTGGTGCTGTAAAGCGGATTGTGGAATTGTTTTTTGAGTAAGTGTGGTCTCCTGGTCTCATCCAGAAATTGTGGCTTATTAAACAAACTTTTCAAGTTCTAATCTAGATATACTTTAATTTCAGGTATCCTTACAATAACTTTTTGCATCACCACGTAGAGCAAATAGTTGTCTCCTGCTTGGAGAGCAAGAATTCACTATTTGTTGAACATATTCTAAAAGATTGCAATCTGGTCAGCAAGTTTCTAGAGGCAGAGAAGAACTTTGCTTTGGCAACTGTTTCAGACAAAGTAATCATAATTGACTGTCATCTTTAACCTTTCTTTTGCCTGTTGTTTTTAGATCTATTTTATCTTCAGTACTTGCATCTAGTAACATTTTATTTACTTGCCCTAGTTCCTTCTCTTTTACTCCTGGGTTGTAAATTTGGTGATGACATTTAATCTTCTTGATACGTTTTGCTGCAGCCCACTGTCCCAGCTGAGGGAAAATTGCCTCCTAGGATTGGGAATATTGGACATATAACACGTATAGCGAACAAGCTTGTCCAATTAGCGAATGATGACAATGATATTAAATTGCATCTGCAGGTTCATTCATTACTTTACTATCATTATTGTTTTTTTTTTTTTTTTTCATATTGTGCTTTTGTTTGTACGTTCTAGATATGCCTAGTTCTTCACTTTGCAGTTATATATAAATTCCACCTTGGTGGGCCTCCAGTAGTGTATTTTGCTTTGGAATTTGCAATTTTTTTCCCCTTTTGTATTCCTCGGAAGATTTGCAGACAATATTATTTCAAAATGAAATAAAAATATTGTCAGTTTTGTGATTATATAGAATTTCAGGAGATTTGTTTGACATTCTAATTAAGGTTTAGTTGTTTTTTTCTTTTCTTATGTTCCTTTACTCTGGCACATCGACCTATTCCGTTTTACAGCTGCCGTTGCCCTTTCCTTTTATTATGTCGTATGTGTGACTTCAATCACATGATAGCAGATGGCCATCTGGTTTGATTGCTTGCTTGTCTTTGTGCCTTTTCTTTGGCTGTGCTTTTCTTTTTGGGGGATGCTTTCTATTAACATCCATTATTCCACCCTGGTGTGAAGCTCTGTTGTATTTAGTTTTGCTTCATTTTTGGTATTTCCTGTGATTACATATGTCGTCGTAGTTAGTAAATTTGCAGTCTCCTCTTTTAATCTTGTGTTTATTTGCAGCTAGCTTTCTCTTCTTCATGCATTTTCTCTCTTTTCGGTATTTAGACCATTTTAATTCTCTTATAGGAAAATAGTGAATGGGTTGACTGGCACACAAATGTCTTGCAAAAGCGCAATGCAGTGGAAAACGTGTTCCAGTGGGCATGCGGGTGAGTTCAACAGTTGCATTTATCAGTCATTTTTATCACATTTCTACTTGTTTGTCTTGCACTGGCCCTGTCTTAGATTAGAGATAGCTCAGAAATTGGAAAAACTTTTTTGATGATTGGCAATGCTTATGTTTGAGTGTACACTGCTCTGCAGCTTTGAAGTGGATAAATCCACATGTTTCATTACATTTGTAGAGTTAGAACAAGAGGCTTACGAACTCCAAATACTCTCCATCCTGAACTATCGTTAGACCAATGATATGTGGAAGGACCTGTAGTTGTAGTGATCTTTGGCTTATCGTGGCCTTTTAAATGATTGTCTTTTAAATTTACCCAAGCTCTTACCAACTTTCTTTAAGTAACATACAGTTAGCATTTGTATGAAGTCCTCAGTCGGATGGATTCAGTGGTTACTTATTTGCATCCGGGACTGCACTTCTGTAGTTTTTAAGCCCTACTAGTTTCCTGTTTTTGGTAGGACGAGTTCTTATGGGCTATGTACTTGTAGCTGGGGTTACCAATGCATAGACCTAGTCAAATTGTAGACTTTATTAGCATATTGTTATGATTGGAACATATTTTTGCTTTCCTTTTGGTCAATTGTTTTGGCTTATTATCATGTAGATTTTAATGTTGATTTTGTTTCTTGGAAGTAGGGTTGATTTAGTATTTCAGCAGCAGTGTCTGCTATGTTAATGGCTGATTAATTTTAACAGAGCTTTAGATTGTAGATTCATTTCATTGTCCTCCTTTTCTCTGGGCTTGTCTTCTCGCCTCTCTACTCGGTCCTATTTAATTCTTGAATCTTGAGATGTATGGAAGCATTGAATTTTGTAGTGTAATGTGTGAGAACTTTTGAAACAGTATAGTGTATTTGATAAAGACAATGTATGCTTGTAGTGAGGGGCTTCTCTGTTTCTTCCTTTTTCTTTCCCCTTGTGATATATGCTTGATGAGGCTATGCTTTTAAACTTAATATCATTCGTTACTCTTGCAGGAGGCCTACAGCTCTACAAGATAGGACTAGGGACAGTGATGATGAAGATTATCAAGACAGGGACTATGATGTTACAGAATTAGCCAACAATTTGAGCCAGGCCTTCCGATATGGGATTTATAGTCATGATGAGATTGATGAGGTGCACTACGTGACTAGTGAATTTAACTTTTAGCCTCATGCTTAATTTTACTATTTATGGTGTGGCGTGGGAAGCAATTACTCTTTAAGATTTCAAGGAAAGATATATTCTCAAAATTTAAGAAAGTAATTGATTCATTCAACTTTCAGAGAGAAGGTTGGTTTGCAGGCCAAATCCTGGAAACAATGTTATGCCTGTTGGAGTAAAATTTTTTTAAATTTTAAGAGAAGTGGCAACTGTTTTATTCTTCTTCCGTTCATCTTTGGAAATTTTTATTTCGTTTTTGGGATTTACTATCAGTCTTCTCTTGAAAAATATATGCATGCTGCGGGAACATGAGGCGGGTTCTACGGATATTATTCTGTAATTTATGGATTTTCAGACCTATGCCCTACATATCAGCTACATGTCTTTGGCTTATCTTCTTTCTTTTTCGTCTTCTTATTTATTTATTTTTTTTTGGGTGGGGGAATGCTTAGGTTCAGTTTCAGTTTGGCTATTCTGGCGTATTTCCTGCATCTTAACTATTACAACTAATTTTTTTTTTTTTTTTCAATCCTTGCAGCCTCATGGTTCACTCGAACGAGATGATGAGGTATGTTAACACTGGCTTATTTAAGTATTTGTTTTTCTTATTTTTATGATTTTTAAATGTCTTTTCTTATTTACTAATATTGGTTCAATAGAAGTTAATGGGGATGATTTGCCTATCTCGAATTCACTTTACCTTTTATTTTTGCTTTTCTGGGAAATCAATTTCTTTTTCTCCTTTGCAACTATCTTAAACATTTTGGTAGTAATGCTAGTTGAATTTCTTGTATAGTGCTTTGACATATTAATTTTTTTTAATCACCTGTCTCGGATTTCTTGTCCTTTGGTTTGATTTACTAACCTGCTGATAAATTTTGAACTTTGCCTACTAGTTATTCTCGATGCTACGGTGAAGAGGAAATTATGTCAGCACCAGTCTTTTTTTTTGTTAATTCTTACAGAGTTTCTGTGAGGATTGTGTATTTTGTGTTGTATTTAATGCTTGGGTCATTTTGGATTAATTATCATGTTTCTGTCTCGATGTTGAAGAAAGGAAGTTGTCAGTTTTGGAACTTAAAGAGGTATGCGTTTCCATTTATTTTCAGGATACCTACTTTGATGATGAGTCGGCTGAAGTTGTCATTTCTTCTCTTCGTCTCGGAAATGACCAGGAAAGGTTAGTCCAACAGTTTATGCTTGCTTTTTCTGACAATTATTTTTATTCTCTGCCCTTCTTTAGATCCCGATTTCACCAGATGAACTTGAAAGGATAAGTACTTGTGTTGTCAAGTCAAAAGTTTAATTGCCTCAAGAATTTGTTTGCAGTCCTTTCTGGAGATGATATAAATTCTTTCCATTTTCATTTCATGGGTTACTCAACTTCAGTTTTTGAAGTAATCATTGTGGTTCTTGTGCGTGTTTGCAGTGGGTCACTCTTTTCAAATTCCAACTGGTTTGCTTTTGAAGACAATAACATTGTGAATGAGCGTTCCACAAGTGAAATGGCTTCGCCATCACCCAAACTTGAAGAGAGTGGTGCGGATGTGAACATATTGGATGGAGATAATGATCCTGTTGATGCTGCAACTTCTGGATCACCTGAAGAACCAAGTTTCATTGATCCTTCAGCGGATGTTTCGCCGAAGGATTCAAGACAAAGCAATGAGTTTGATAAACCTGCTGAGGAGGAACAGTTGAGGGGAAGTTCTGATTTGGATGAATCCCCTGGCGCGCTGTCTGATTCAGATTTGACATCTGATAATACTGCTCGTCCTGTGCCTTTACCAAATGGAGGGCTTGAAGTGGAAACAGAGCCACTAGTTGATGACACAGCAGATTCTTTCCCGTCTGATGCTGATAAATCTGATAGCACAGTAGACACTGAGGTTGGATCGTTGCAGGAAGCATCAGATACCAATCCTGGTTCGAGCCCTTTGGCTCCACTGGATTCGGAAGCTGAGAACAACAAGAACTCCGAACCTCATACCGTAGGTTCGGTTGATGTAGAGGTGCCCCCTGTTACTGTAACAGAAGGATCTGGAGGATCAGACGGCAAAGAGTAGAAACAGCTTGATGTGGTTGATTGTAAACATCATTTCTGGGGAGCTAACCACCACACTGCAGCCACACAATAGGGAGACATCCTCGGCCCGTGCAATCTGTCAAATATTACTTAGAATGTACATTAATGGAGCTCTTTCTGTCAAATAGGGCTAATGATTCTTTTTCTATTTTACCACCTTTTGCATGACTTAGTAGAGAATAACTGAGATATACCCTGATCTTCTCAAGTGCAGCTCATCGTACTAGCAAAATTCTTTAGGTCTTACCTTCACCGCTCTTTAGCGTCAAGCTCTCGGTGAAGAAATCAGGTTTGCCTGATTTCCCTGATCACGAGAGAAGATGCAAGCTGTAAGCCAAGACCTCGATTATAGCATATCTCAATCAAATATCCCTTTTATCCTACTGAACGTTTATTGTTCTGATGAGGTTTTGGTTTATCCCTAATCATTTTGGTAGTTTTGTAGTTGTATATTGTTGTTTGGCTTGGTAAGAAAGACCGACGGATTTTATATTGTTGTCATCAACATTTGCTGCCGTGTTATCTTTTTTTCTTTTTAATTCTTTTATTTTTCATTGGAGATGCGGGCTGTCAATGGATCTGTTTGATCAGAACCACATAATAAAACAAACACCATTCGGTAAGAGGTTGTAAGCTTCACAGTTCTATGAATATTGCTTGTGAAAAAAAGTATCGGGAACAAAACGTAGAGATGATTTGAATGACACGATAAAACGGACACTAATTGGAAAATGATGATTTGCGAATTTCACAAGTTCATAATTATTGCTTGACGAGTTGGAAGCTCGAAATTAAAGACATAGTGATACATATGTGTGTGTTATATAATATATAGTGATACATTCAGGAAAAATTTATAAAAAATTCTAATAAGAAATGATGTGATTAAATTTTAATTATCCCCTAACTCTTAAAATAGATAAATCCGTAAAGTTAAATTTTAACTGTCGATTATAATTCATTCCCTGTATATTTTATTTACAAATTTTTCTTACAACAATCATTACTATATATATATATATTGTGATATGAAGTGATCAAACTCCATTGTATTAAATAAAGAAAAAAACATATATATGACAAAACAAGAGTGGAAATTAAGACCACAACCCTAACATTTTAGATCCTTATGCAACCACGACATAATAGATTTGATTGCAAAATTCAATCAACAAGTTATTTTAACTTTATAAATGTACTAACCTCCTTTTGTTTATATCTAATAAAAACTACACAAGACCCTAATTCCACAAGACTGGCACTCATAATTAATTAGTTTTTTTTCTCAAGATATGATTTATCCAAAATTGATGGGATTCGCGTACGTATTATAAATAAATTAAAACGATTAAAACGAAAAATCAATAAGATTGTAACAAGTAAAAAATAATTAAATTAGTTTGGATTGTTAATTCGCTCCAACATTAATCCGAGACATGATTTATCCATATTTGATAGGGTTCCGGGTATATTATAAATAAATAAAAATGATAAAAGCAAAAAATCAATAAGATTGTAACAAGATAATCAAATTAGTTTGGATTGTTTTTTCGCTCTAACATAAAATAATAAAAAAATTTAAACGTATTGCGGTGATAAAGATGAGTACTGCCTACTCAAATCTCTAGGGTAACATAGAAATCTGGACTAGTCTTTGTCTTAATCTGAATTGAGGAACCAAACCTTCTTTTTTTCTTACAACATCTCTGAACTTCAAAACAGATAATCAGAAGAACTCCTACATAAACAATGGCATAAAAACCTATCTCCACTTCCCACAATGTCTTCATCCATGCCTCGATCTCTCCCTTTCTTTCTTTTTACTCCGTTTAATTGCCTCCAAGAATTGAGAAAAAAAAAATTTACGAGCGTATAATTGGATGAATATGTTTTTTTTTTCTCCTTTATGAAAGTACGGGAGAAGAAACCCGACACTCATTGATTATATGCTAAGTAAATAAGTAAATTATTAATATGGAAACGGGGATCTTATATTAGGACATGATTAGAAAGGAAAGATTCGTAATATTTCCTAATATCTTAAAGAAATACTATTATCTCCGCTCCAAAAAAAAATAGCCAACGTTACAATTTTATAAATTGTAGTAGTACTATTTCTAGTACAATCCATACATTATAATTGTGTATTATTTTTTTTTGTGATAAAAAGAGTATTTCTTAATGTTTTGAATACGATTTGCTATGAATAATTATTTCTAAATGGACAGTTTCAGAGGTTCCACTGAGTTTTTTTTTTTTTTTAAAAAAAATTTATTTGTTTTAGTTTGACATTTTGTTAGGGTTTCTTCCACCTATCAGCACATTATTTCTACATGTCTTACTTTACTTGATGTCCCATCTTAAAAAGAAATTGTATATCCATCAAATCCTTCAAAAAATAGTAAACAAAAAACTCTTTGCATGATGTTGTGCTATTCTTACTCATCCTTTCCGATTTGATTCTCAGTGGAGTGGAAGCCGTATTCTAGTTTAATAACTGTGAAAAATGATCTTTCGCTTGGTCGTTAGCGTAGGAGTTCAATTTGGTTAAAAAATATATATTGCAAAGCAAGTATTGTAAAAATTAATACTACACTTGCTCAACAATCAGAAGCTGAGTAAGATACTTTCTGTATTTGTAATTAATGTTTCTAATAAAACTTTGAAGTGTACATGTCTTATAGTACGTTTCATATTTTATAAAAGTATTGTTCTAATTTGGTTGGAATTTTATTTAGCCACCATCGAATAAAACCACATCAAAACTAACGTTGGTCTTAGTACGTACCACATGTTGTCCGTTTATGTACGTGAATTTTTCTCGACTTTTAAGGTTAGCAAAACAGAACATTGTGTGAATACGAGGCTAAGGAACAATATTGTATTCTCTCGTCTCAGAAAAATAATATATATTATAAATTGTGAATCATATTAAAATTGTTATATTTTTAATCTAAAATGTGAATTATTTTATTAGGGTAAGAAAATATGTTCCAATATATATATGTCCAACTGCGTATTTGTACAAAAAAGAAAAAAAGAAAAAGAAAAGGAAATACTCCTCCAATCGACGAAGATTTGCTTCTCGAATAATATGCTAATAATAATGAATTTTTTTCCTAACTACTCAAATAAATGAACATTATTATTATAATTATTATCATAATCACTCGATCAATACACAATCTTTCATGCTTACAAGTTACAACTTGTCCCATCTATGATGTCCCGTTTTTGTGTCCTTTCATAAAGGTCGATTTTTAATACGTATTGTTACAAATATGCATCGACGAAATTATTAATTTTATGAAGGGGTGTAAGATATACAAAATTAAATAATATTAATTCTATTTGTTTAAATAGTTATATTATAAACATCAATAAATTATATTTCCGATCAAAACTGTTTTTATGCACAATACTTTAGCGAGATCAAGTCTCTTCTTACGCGATATTGTTGACTCTTTGCGGCTGTTATCAAACCTTAATGAGTTCCGATTGGATATTCGTTAAAAATTATTAGATAGCGTTCATTTTTTTTTAAAATAATGGAATAACAATAGGGTTGCCTACTCATAATCTACCATGAGGAACACCAAGAACCCTAAAACTAACCTTTCTATTTGCCGCCCATAAATGCAGCAAGTCTTTCCCGTTCGTTACACTGTCTCACAACTTTGAAAATAATACCAAACACAGCTCCTACTACAAAGATCGCCACAAAAACGATGGTCAGTATCAGCATTAGCTTCATCGTATCTTCCGATTTTTTTGTCTGCCTTCAATTGCCTCCCAAGAAACGAAAACTATATAGAGAATTGGACGAATTTGTTCTGTGCAACCAATTTGTGAACTATTTGTGTGTATTTATAGCCATATAGGACGGGGACTACGGTGGTAGTACGGGAAGATTTCAATTGCCCATTGATTACATGCTAATTGAAAACGGGATGATTTCCTTTTAACATGCAAAGATATGCAAATATTTTAGGAAAGAAAGTAAGTTGCCATTATTATTGATTTAAGAAGTGAAAGATTAAGGAAAGCAGTCTAACTATGATCAATTATTATGTGTTTTAAAAAGGGGGATTTGGGAAATCAATTACGATTGTTTTCATATACTTAGCCGAACATTTGTCTATCCCGCCGCAAAAAAAAAAAAAAAGAAAAAAAGAAAAAAAAACTTGGAATTTTGCCTTTTCTTTTAAAAGAAAAAAATAATATATTCTGGGAATTTCCAGAATTATCAGTTCTTCCTCTTAAAATAATATTCCTTCCGTCCCATAATTATTGTCCAGTTTGATTAAGATTAAAGATTTTATTTTTAGTCAAAGTTAGCTATATTTTGGCTTAAAACAATTAAGCCAAAACACAAAACCAACTCCAATTCATATATTCAATCAAAATTCAAGAACAACAATTAAAGAAAATATAGGGCTTTGCAATCTCTTCATTCTTCTTCTTCTTTGGGATAAATTTAATTCCGGTAATCTCAAATCCATATTACCGGGACTTCTCCAACTACCACGACTAAGCCCGCCGACAAGTCTAACTTTCAACCATCGGCTCAGCTCCAACCCGGGTCGATGACTAGTTGTTCAGAGTGTCTATCAATTTGACTCAGCGACGGCTAGCACCAAAGTCGATGATATCAATGTTGTTGCTTCCGCCACCGCAGGCGGCCGCTGTGACGGATCTGGCCAGCTCAACATCGAAGGAGTTGTTGGTGGAGGGAGCCAGAGGGGGATTGGCAAAGTGCTCTAGCCGGTTTAGCTAGTAAGGTTTTGGAGCTTAGTAGCTATTCAAAATGAGATCAAAAGTCACCCATCGGAGGAGTGAAACTGTTTTATATAGCTTGTTTACTCATTCCATCAGCCGGATAAAATGGTTACAGTGAAAGGCAAATTTGTAACTTACTCTTTAAAAAGTCAAATTGGACAATAATTTTAAAACAATTTTTTTTAATAAACTGGATAATAATTATGGGATAAAGGGAGTAATCAAGAAATAGACCGAGTAACCGGTTCTTCTCTTGGAGAATTAAACTGTTTCTATCAAATCTGGTTCAATAGTTAAGAACATTTGGTGAAAAATATTCCCCTGAGCTATTTTAAAATTCGATCGATCTGGTAACTTTTACAAAAGCGAAACAACTTAGAAATGGAGAATTTTGATTTTAAAAAAATTTGTCTAATTGGAATTCAAATTACATAGAGCAAATAAATCCGGTGTAATAACCCCCAAAAAAGTAATGAAAGAAAGAAACTGCTCCAAACATAATGCATTAATCTAAGCATATATTATTACTAGTTTTTTCTTTTTGCAAAAAAGTAAATACATAATGACATTGTTTGGAATTATATCTTAAAGTATAATTTAAGATAATTTTTGGAAATTTTTATTTTTGCCTGTAAATTCAAAAACACCTATACACAGGTATATTTAATTTCCCTATAAAAATTGACCTTAACAATTCCTCCAAAAACTGCCGAAAAAAATCAATTTTCTCTACTGTTAAAGAGATTGATTTGAGGGATAAAAAACCCTAATGAGAACCAATATATGAATGAGGCGATATCTAGATTAGGTACTAATGTATAAGTTAAGGTAATTTTTTTGAATAT